TATATGTACGTATATATATGTGTGCGTGTGTACATATATCTCTATGTATCTATCTCTCTCTCTCTCTCTCTCTATATATATATATATATCACAATTTTAATTATTCATCTGCTGATGAGCATCTAGACTGATTCCATATCTTGGCTATTGCAAATTGTGCTGCAATAAACATGGGTATGCATGTATCACTATTGTGTGCTGTCTAATTCCTTCAAGTATGTTTGGTTGTTGTTGTTGTTGGTGTTGTTTGGTACCAGGGATCGAATTTGGGTCCTTGCGCTTGCGAAGCAGGCGGTGGAACCGCTGAGCTAAATCCCCAGTCCATTCCTTGAAGTATGTTCTGTACCAAGGAGTAGTATAGCTGAATCAAACGGTAGCTCTATTTTTAATTTCTTGAGGAACTTCCATAGTTACTATACTAATTTACATTCCTGCCAGCAGAGTAGAAGTGTTCTTTTCCCCCAATTTCTTGTATTTAAACATTCCCAAAGACAGCCATACTGAGCATGGTGAGATAGAATCTGTGTGGTTTTTGATATGCTTTTCTTTTTTATTATTTTTTTTTGAGACAGGGTCTCACTATGTAGTTGAGACTGGCCTGGAACTATGTAGCCCAGGCTGGTCTTGAGCTCACAGCAATTCTCCTGCCTCAGCCTCCCAAGTGCTGGGATTATAGGCATGTGCCACCACGCCCAGCTGATATGCATTTTCTTAATAGCTAAAAATGCTGAATTTTTTTATATGCTAATGGCCATTTGTAGGTTTTATTTTGAAAAGAGAATGTTCAGTTCATTTGCCTATTTATTGATCGGGCTGTTCGATTTTTTGTGCTAAGTTTTTTAGGTTCTTTATTTTTTTAGATATTAATCCTCTGACAGAAGAGAAGTCAGTAAAGATTTCCCTCCATTCTGTAGATTGTTTCTTCATTCTGATAGTTGTCTCCTTGCTGTGCAGAAACTTTTAATTTTGAAGTTTTCCCATTTCTTGATTCTTCCTAATATTTTGTGTGCTATTCAAGAAGTATTAGCCTGCATTCCTCTATGTTTTCTTTTAGCAGTTTCAAAGTTTTAGGCCTTCTACCCAGGTTTTTCATCCATTTTGAATTGATTTTTGTGCAGGATGAGACAGGGACCTAATTTCAATATTTTACAAAGATATCCAGTTTTCCCAACACTATTGATTAAAAACTTTTCCCAATCTATATTTTTGCCTCTGCTCAGATAGCTATAGTTGTGTGGGTTTCTGTGTTCTTCATTCTGTTCCATGACCATGCTGTTTTTGTCACTATAACTTTGTAGCATAATTTAAAATCAGATACTGTAATGCATTCAGCCTCAATC